TATACGAAAAAGTGATAAATCTTTTCAGGTATTGGTGTATAGTCTCATTGGTCACCCAAGATAGCACACCTGGCAACTAATTGCATAATGTCCGCCTTTCTTTAAAACAGTAATTTAGTTAGCCAATAATGGGCAATCAATCAATGTATTGCCGGTTAATCCTTTGAAAGAAGGACGTTGTTTTACGCAGACACCGACATACGACAGAGTGTATTCAGTATAGATTAGTAAATCTACATACATAAACACTACCTTTTGACAATTCCGCTGTGTAAGATAAAAGTAATTAATCAATCAGCGTGTTATCGGTTAATCCTTTGATCGATGTTTATAATGTTGAATATTTACTCCAGACACAAGAAATGCCAAATGGGAACCTTTGTCGGGTAATCTAAGTGTGTTACCACTAATTATACCTGTTATAAATTCATTAACTGACCATCAAGTGAATGATGACAAATAACATGTGTAGGTTTATACCACCTAACACGGGTTACAACGAGGGAGTATTAATTGCTGTATTGCATGTGAAAACTTATGGGCCGACACTGTTTTGAGAATACAAACAGATTTTACATGACATGATTAAATATCGAGGTAAAACAACACAGAAATGGGATCAATTTGGATCAGTCATTATACAAATAGGGCCTAACGACACCAATCGATTTTGACAGAATCGTCTATGAAAACAAGTTGTAACTCGGAAACTAGGCAAAGCAGGAGACACAATTAAATGACAGTAGGTTGTGAGAACATATAGCTTTCATTTTCCACAACAATTGTCACGATTTCAGGTTTATACAAGCCTGTAAACACGATAATTTACCCCCTAAAATGTAGATGAATTCTGCATCGGCTCTCAAAGCTATTCCTCATATGACGTCACAGAGGCGCGCCGCTCTGATTGGTTGAAATTTCGTTCGCGGGTGAGAATTGTGCACTGTTGTCAAAAAGGTCGATTTAAGTCAATTAAAGGTCGAAATGAGTAGTATTAATGACGGGGTTTCATTTATAACGATGCCAGTTAGTGATTTATGTATTTGTACCCCCTAGGGTTTATGTGACCTTTAAAGAGGGGTTACCATATCATTATTTGTCCAGTTTTAAAAGGATATAATTTCAAATTATAAATCTACATTTAAGTAAAGTTGTGAATTTTTGTGATCCTTATCAAAGTGTGAGGAGTACATATTTATGATAATATCATATGCTATCTGTTATTATGTATATGTCTTTTATGATTCCTATCTTGACACCCGTGAAGGTCCAGGTTAGAATATTGATCTTCAGTAACCCATGCTTGTCGTAAGAGGCGACTAAGGTGGTCGGGTGGTCAGGCTCGCTGACTTGGTTAACACATGTCAACGGTTTCCAATTGCGCAGATCCGTGCTCATTCTGTTGATCACTGGATTGTGTGGTCCAGACTCGATTATTTACAGACCGCCGCCATGTAGCTGGAATATTGCGTAAAACTATACTCACTCACTCACTCTCTTACAAGCATGGACTGCTGAAGGTCAGTGCCATATCCCAACACGAGCTGAATTCGACGTTCTGGTGATTTTGATGATTGCATTGCACGCGCTATATCGGGGGAGTACGTTTGCGATCTGAGTGCACAAACAGTTATATAGCTGGAATATTGCTGAGTACGGCGTAAAACTAAACTCACTCACTCACTCCTATCTTGACAGCTGTGTTGTAATGCTCTGCACCCAAGTAACAATGGTGTAGGACTGACGATAATTAGATAAGGTTAGTGGGTAACTAGGACTGATGGTAATTGAATAAGGGCAGTTGGTAACTAAAGTACTGTCGGAAATAGAAAAAAAGCTGTTTTTAGGCTGTTACACTGTACCCCTAACTTTACACAATTGCAAATACCATATGTCGAAATAGCCCACATCGGCCTAACTGGGCGTTCAGTGGGATGCGTAGTAGGATATCCAGAAAAGCATGTTTACTCGTAATATCGGGCAAAAAATACGAATAGCTGCTGAAAACAATAGATGAGACTGTAGATGGCAATTAGGTCAGCCAGGTATGACGACGGACTGTCGACTCACCTGGCATGAAATGCACGTGCTGCCTACAGGACCAAGGGGTCATCTCAAAGATATTTGAGGCTTTTTCTTGTATTACTTGTCTTTCTTTCATAAAGTTTATGTTCACATATGTAAAAGAGATACCCGTAGAAAAGCATAATCAGTCATCGTATTAAATGTCAATGAAGATCGACAGGACTGGATATTATTTGTAAATTGTTATGGCATGCCCCAGTTAAATTCCCCTGAAGGATTATGCTATCTTAGCTGATATCTCTATCCCCCAGCCCGACCCCAACCACCGTCTGCAACACCCGTCATTGTTTTGCTTTGAGACGACCCCTCCAATCTGTTTTCTTTCATAGTGATAGTGAGACTCCATGGTGGCTACATCCTTAACATTTTATACGTCAGATATCGTTAATAATGAGGCTAAGTTTAATTTGAAAATGGGTATTTAAAAAGTGTCCTTTGTAATACAATATCATCGCACTCTAATTTGCATAAAGCAATGGTCTGTTCCAAATAAGTCGATTTGGACTTAAAAAAACCCACATTGCTCATTTCTGCACTAATCTCTCCTCAGAAAAGTCCAATTTTTACGTTTCCTATCTCCCTACCACTGAGACTATAGTTAGGCCGAACTTAGTTTAACAAATATTTCACACTTTCACATGTTGTCTACATAAATTGTAGGTGTAAATGTGAAATAACAGTTTTTTCTATTTCCGACAGAACTTTAGGACTAGTGGTAAATAGATCAGGGTAGTGGGTAACTAGGAATGATGGTAATTACATGAGGGTAGTGGGTAACTAGGACTGATGATAATTACATGAGGGTAGTGGGTAACTAGGACTGATGATAATTACATGAGGGCAGTGGGTAACTAGGACTGATAGTAATTACATGAGGGCAGTGGGTAACTAGGACTGATGGTAATTACATGAGGGCAGTGGATAACTAGGACTGATAGTAATTAATGAGGGTAGTGGGTAACTAGGACTGATGGTAATTACATGAGGGTAGTGGGTAACTAGGACTGACGGTAATTACATGAGGGCAGTGGGTAACTAGGACTGATAGTAATTTCATGAGGGCAGTGGATAACTAGGACTGATAGTAATTACATTGGGTCAGTGGATAACTAGGACTGATGGTAATTACATGAGGGCAGTGGGTAACTAGGACTGATGATAATTACATGAGGGTAGTGGGTAACTAGGACTGATGAGTAATTACATGAGGGTAGTGGATAACTAGGACTGATAGTAATTACATGAGGGTAGTGGATAACTAGGACTGATAGTAATTACATGAGGGTAGTGGATAACTAGGACTGATGGTAATTACATGAGGGTAGTGGATAACTAGGACTGATGGTAATTACATGAGGGTAGTGGATAACTAGGACTGATGGTAATTACATGAGGGTAGTGGATAACTAGGACTGATAGTAATTACATGAGGGTAGTGGATAACTAGGACTGATGGTAATTACATGAGGGTAGTGGATAACTAGGACTGATAGTAATTACATGAGGGTAGTGGGTAACTAGGACTGATGATAATTACATGAGGGTAGTGGGTAACTAGGACTGATGGTAATTACATGAGGGTAGTGGATAACTAGGACTGATGGTAATTACATGAGGGTAGTGGATAACTAGGACTGATAGTAATTACATGAGGGGGATAACTAGTGAGGTAACTAGGACTGTAGATAATTACACTGACGGCAGTGGAGTATATAGGACTGAATATTAATTACATGAGTGCAGTGGATGTAACTAGGACTCACTCACTACCACCCTATCTTGAGGGCTGTGGGTAACTAATGACTGATAGTAATTAACATGAGGGTAGTGGATAACTAGGACTGATGGTAATTACATGAGGGTAGTGGATAACTAGGACTGATGGTAATTACATGAGGGTAGTGGATAACTAGGACTGATAGTAACATGATGAGGGTAGTGGGTAACTAGGACTGATGGTAATTGAGGGCATGAGGGTAGTGGATAACTAGGACTGGCCAACTAATTACATGAGGGTAGTGGATAACTAGGACTGATAGTAATTACATGAGGGTAGTGGGTAACTAGGACTGATGGTAATTACATGAGGGTAGTGGGTAACTAGGACTGATGGTAATTACATGAGGGCAGTGGATAACTAGGACTGATAGTAATTACATGAGGGCAGTGGGTAACTAGGACTGATGATAATTACATGAGGGTAGTGGGTAACTAGGACTGATGGTAATTACATGAGGGCAGTGGATAACTAGGACTGAGGGCGGTAATTACATGAGGGTAGTGGGTAACTAGGACTGATGGTAATTACATGAGGGTAGTGGATAACTAGGACTGACAGTAATTACATGAGGGTAGTGGATAACTAGGACTGATGGTAATTACATGAGGGTAGTGGGTAACTAGGACTGAGGGTAATTACATGAGGGCAGTGGATAACTAGGACTGACGGTAATTACATGAGGGTAGTGGGTAACTAGGACTGACAGTAATTACATGAGGGTAGTGGATAACTAGGACTGATGGTAATTACATGAGGGTAGTGGATAACTAGGACTTGATGACTAGGATTGACGGTAATTACATGAGGGTAGTGGGATAACTAGGACTGATGGTAATTACATGAGGGCAGTGGATAACTAGGACTGATGGTAATTACATGAGGGTAGTGGGTAACTAGGACTGATGGTAATCAAGTAGAGGCAGATGTAGATAACAGCATTGGTCAACTACAACCAACAATTGATAAATGTCAGCAATGTTGAAGCTTCAAGTATTTGATCACCTGATCAAATTCCCCAATTGTGTAATCTTTGTGAGCCCCATTTCTGGTGTCTCTCACTATGATAGTGGTGGAATGTACCTCAGTGCATCTAAAAACAAACTAACTCTGTCACTCTGTTTGTGTTTGGGAACAGACTGGCGTAGGTTGCCCGGGGAGCTGAAGATTAAGACCAAGAGGCCTCGCCCTGGCAGAAGCAGTGCTAAACCCAACTTGAAGAAGGCGAAACTGAAGATTAGTGAAGTGGACATTGACAAGACGTTGGAGGTACAGTCAGTTTTATGTACACAGAAGGGGGATTTTAATCCCAACACCTGGTTGTGAACTGGGTTCCCCCATCCAACACCACTAAAGGCATCCATCCATGAAGGCAATATTGACCTTGACATTGCTCACCATGACATGATGTAGGTTGATCAGCGGAGGACATTTGTTTGCTTGGTTTCAGAAACTGGAGAAACTTCCAGATGCAGAAGAAGGTAACAAGGAGGAGAATGAGAGACAGAAGGAAGAAGACAGAGAGGAGGAAGAAGCTGAGGAGTTGTATGAGGAAGAGGAACTGGAGGAGGTGTGTATGTGTGAGGGTGGCCGTCTGTCAGAGCTGGGACTTGTAGCCAGGGGGGTTGACTGGAAGGTGTGGCTCTGGGGTTGGGCTGGTTGGGTGGGATGGGGTTAGCACTAGCACAGATTGAGTTTATAACTTGTGCACATTCTATTACTTTTCAAAACTGACTCATCGTTAGTTGAAGTTATATGACATCACACTGCTGCATTGTTGAGGACTCTGACATCAACATCATCTATTGGTTGTGACATCATCTATTGTTCTGGTGCTCACTGCTAGATAGCATTACCGTTACTTCAGTAAACATTTGGTTCAGCATATGTTACAATGTCTTCTGTTTCCTCTGGTAATATACAAATATAAATGCAACTTTGAATCCTACATGTCATCCACAATTCCTCATTAATCAGATTAACCTCTGACTCCTGGAATTAATAGCATGGTAGACAAGAGGTTCTATAAGAATCAGGTTTCAAGACAGAATTGTATTCTGGATGTTTGCTGGAGATATTTTACATCATGGAATCTGTGTCTGGATGTAATATGGAAGTGTGTAGTTTGTTATAAAGTAACACCTGATGATGATAAAGTTATCAGTTAAGTATTAAGACAAGATCATCTTAGGCACACTTAATGCTGAGAATTGGTGACAGATGGATTGGAAGTAAAGAACAGTGCAATTTGGTGGCAGATTGCACCAAGTCTGCAGATGAAGCTTAACAGAGTTATCTCCCTTGTATAATTCCAGATACTTGTACATCCTCTTCCTGTGCTTGAATGATCATACCATTATTTGATTCATGAGAGGTACTATATTTCAGGAAACTGATTACAACCTGAACTACTTTGACAATGGTGAGGGCTATGGTGACGATGATGACGACGTGGATGAAGGACCCATTTATTGAGATGCAGGATGCCATGTGTTTCTACATGGATCTGTTGTCGGGAACAAGTGCTGATGTCGACCTGATGATGCTGAGGTTGTCCTGTCATACCTCCATGTTCCTAGGACATCAGTACCCTCAATGGCATATGGTGTGCTTTGTGAAGAAAGGATTTGACAAGACAGAGCTCAGCATAGACTGGGGGGAAAGTGTGATTGATCTACAGACATGGGTGAGGATAACAGTCTGAAAACAGTCAGGTGTGTCAGAGTGTGGCTGGTAATTCTCTCTGGATCACTGTGTTTTGCTTCGTGAGCAGCTCAATGTGTGGCCAGGGTGAGCGAGTGTCATAATAGGCATATAGCAAGGACCGTTGTCATGGAATCAACCATTGTAGTGTCCACGGGTCATTGTGGTAGAGATGACTATGAGCAACAATCTGACAGGCTCCAAAACCCTTGCATCCTTCCATAAGGTTGGTTGGACAGTTCCCTCACATGAACTCCTGACACAACCTGGTATGGAAGGGTTGTCGGATCTTCACATATAGTCACAGTACAGTTCGGAGTGCAATGGGATTGATTCATTCATACGTTTAAGGGATCAATTTTTCACCAGTTGTTATTGACATTTGCAAGTTATTTTTCAACTGATATCAAACCCTTGAAGATGTGGTTACGTTTGACCTGGGATTTGACAGTACATGCCCAGATGATATTGAGCAGTGGCACCAGCTGTGTATCACATGCATTGATTTCCACAGAATACATGCATTACATTCATGTAGAAAATTGCTGACAAGCACTTTAGAGTGACTGGCAGTGTGACACATGTTACAGTTTGGCTACGTAGGTGACTGTGTAAGGGACACACGACCTTGTGCTGCAGGCTGAATCAATATGAAATACTTTTATTTTCTCATGTGTTGTTATTTTTTTATTAAAATCTTTATGAATATAACAAGGCTGGCATATTTGCTAGCTAGTGAAATGTGGCTATTTATTGAGTAAACACCTATAACATTGTGAACATATTATATGCATGGCTTGGCCAAGCAGAGAGGTGATCTGGTAAAGGTTCCTGTAGATTACTGGTGGTCTGGTAAAGGTTCCTGTAGATTACTGGTACTACAATGGCAAGCAGCTGACCGAGAGGTGGTCTGGTAAAGGTTCCTGTAGATTACTGGTACTACAATGGCAAGCAGCTGACCGAGAGGTGGTCTGGTAAAGGTTCCTGTAGATTACCAGTACTACAATGGCAAGAAGCTGCTGTGCAAAACTATGCTTTACTGTTTGTTTGTTGTTTAACGCTACACTCAGCAATATTCCAGACGTTTTATTGTTGTCTGTAAATAATGAAGTCTATACAAGATGATCCAGTGATACGTTTCATCAAGCATCGATCCACACAGTCTTCTCTTACAAGCATGGACTGCTGAAGGTCAGTGCCAGATTTTTACAGGGCTGTGCTTTACTGAAGCATGTTAGCCTAGATCTTCATGGGGCTGTGCTTTACTGAAGCATGTTAGTCTAGATCTTCATGGGGCTATGCTTTACTGAAGCATGTTAGGCAAGAACTTCATGGGCTATGCTTTACTGAAGCATGTTAGTCTAGATCTTCATGGGCTATGCTTTACTGAAGCATGTTAGTCTAGATCTTCATGGGCTATGCTTTACTGAAGCATGTTAGCCAAGATCTTCATGGGCTATGCTTTACTGAAGCATGTTAGTCCTAGATCTTCATGGGCTATGCTTTACTGAAGCATGTTAGCCTAGATCTTCATGGGCTATGCTTTACTGAAGCATGTTAGTCTAGATCTTCATGGGGCTCTGCTTTACTGAAGCATGTTAGCCTAGATCTTCATGGGCTATGCTTTACTGAAGCATGTTAGCCTAGATCTTCATGGGCTATGCTTTACTGAAGCATGTTAGCCTAGATCTTCATGGGGCTCTGCTTTACTGAAGCATGTTAGCCTAGATCTTCATGGGCTATGCTTTACTGAAGCATGTTAGCCTAGATCTTCATGGGCTATGCTTTACTGAAGCATGTTAGTCTAGATCTTCATGGGCTATGCTTTACAGAAGCATACTGAAGCATGTTAGTCTAGATCTTCATGGGCTATGCTTTACTGAAGCATGTTAGCCTAGATCTTCATGGGGCTATGCTTTAGTGAAGCATGTTAGCCTAGATCTTCATGGGCTATGCTTTACTGAAGCATGTTAGCCTAGATCTTCATGGGCTCTGCTTTACTTGAAGCATGTTAGCCTAGATCTTCATGGGCTGTGCTTTACTGAAGCATGTTAGCCTATAGATCTTCATAGGGCTGTGCTTTACTGAAGCATGTTAGCCTAGATCTTCATAGGGCTCTGCTTTACTGAAGCATGTTAGCCTAGATCTTCATGGGCTATGCTTTACTGAAGCATGTTAGTCTAGATCTTCATGGGCTATGCTTTAGTGAAGCATGTTAGCCTAGATCTTCATGGGGCTGTGCTTTACTGAAGCATGTTAGCCAAGATCTTCATGGGCTATGCTTTACTGAAGCATGTTAGTCTAGATCTTCATGGGCTATGCTTTACTGAAGCATGTTAGCCAATATCTTCATGGGGCTGTGCTTTACTGAAGCATGTTAGCCAAGATCTTCATGGGGCTCTGCTTTACTGAAGCATGTTAGCCAAGATCTTCATGGGCTATGCTTTACTGAAGCATGAAGCATGTTAGCTTTACTAAGATCTTCCAAGATCTTCATGGGCTATGCTTTACTGATGCATGTTAGCCAAGATCTTCATGGGCTATGCTTTACTGAAGCATGTTAGTCTAGATCTTCATGGGCTATGCTTTACAGTTAGCCAAGATCTTCATGGGCTATGCTTTACTGAAGCATGTTAGTCCTAGATCTTCATGGGCTATGCATTACTGAAGCATGTTAGTCCTAGATCTTCATGGGCTATGCTTTACTGAAGCATGCATGTTAGTCATGTTAGAAGATCTTCATGGGCTATGCTTTACTGAAGCATGTTAGCCAAGATCTTCATGGGGTTAGTCTCTGCTTTACTGAAGCATGTTAGCCAAGATCTTCATGGGCTATGCTTTACTGAAGCATGTTAGTCCTAGATCTTCATGGGCTATGCTTTAGTGAAGCATGTTAGCCAAGATCTTCATGGGCTATGCTTTACTGAAGCATGTTAGCCAAGATCTTCATGGGCTATGCTTTACTGACTGAAGCATGTTAGTCCATGTTAGCCAAGATCTTCATGGGCTATGCTTTAGTGAAGCATGTTAGCCTAGATCTTCATGGGCTATGCTTTAGTGAAGCATGTTAGCCATAGATCTTCATGGGCTATGCTTTAGTGAAGCATGTTAGCCTAGATCTTCATGGGATATGCTTTAGTGAAGCATGTTAGCCAAGATCTACATGGGGCTACGGTTTCCTTAAGCATGTTATCATAGATCTTCATGGGCTATGATCTACTGACATACCGGTATATTTAGCCTGTTTTTTTTACAGGGCTGCTACTGGTGCATGTGTACCCCATATCTTTACAAGACTATGTATTACTGATACATGTTTGGTTGGTATTTTTCAGGGAAGTGATCAGTATTTCTGGTCATTATTTGGTGACATGTCAATTATATCCCGTACATCAAAGGATGGATTCAGTGACTTCTAAGATCCAATTGTCATCCACAATGCAGTGTCTGATCTTCACTTCTTCATATACGTTGGAGGTAGTAAAAATCAATACAGTCTATGAAATATAGAGGGCAGACTGTCGTTGCAAAAATTGAAATCGAGTTTTCAAGCAGAACACAGGTTTTTTTTCTGTGTTGGATGACACTGCCCACAACTTATAAAAACTTCGAAGCAGTTGTGGTTGATGTTGAACTGATTCCTCAGGGAAGATTTGTAGCAAGTTGTCCATGTTGCCTTCTTCAACATTGTCACAGAAATCCGGAATGTTTGCGGTTGAATCACAAACACTCACGTAAAACAATACAGAACAAACCAATCCATTGGCCACTGATTAATTTATTTTATTCATTATTTCTTGATTATTTACACTTTTCCACATAAATATTCATCCATTGAGTTTTCGATGTTAGCATTCAGTTAAGTTTTGAATATATCACTTCTATGTTAAGTTTTAAGATTGAATATATGTACAGTTCTATGTACATCTTGATACGATGATACATGCACAGTCATGTCGATCATAAGATTGGTGATGTATGTACAGTTATACAAGCAGCAAGATACCACGCCCCCGAGCTGCAGCATGTGCTGCCTATCACACAGTCATGTCGATCATAAGATTGGTGATGTATGTACAGTTATACAAGCAGCAAGATACCGAGCCCCCGAGCTGCACAGTCTTGTCGATCATAAGATTGGTGATGCATGTACAGTTATACAAGCAGCAAGATACCAGGCCCCCGAGCTGCAGCATGTGCTGCCTATCACACAGTCATGTCGATCATAAGATTGGTTATGCATGTACAGTTATACAAGCAGCAAGATACCACGCCCCCGAGCTACAGCATGTGCTATTTATCACACAGTCAAGAACCTTCACCTGAATGGGATCCTGCTGTGCGAGAGCAAAATGTCATAAACATGAGTTACACATAATCATTGAAAAGAGAACTGAAGTAGAGTGTAATATTACCAGTATCCTGTAATGGGTATCACAGCTTGTCAGCTTTATGTTGGAGTAAGACTTAACCAGTATCTACCTCTCAGACGGAACCATGAGCAATGGGTGTGGTGCTAACAGACAAATAACCACAACTGGGTCCAAACTCAGACTTGAACCCTTCATAAGCTGAGCCTCGCAGTTGAGGGACGCAATTCTATAATAGACAGTGCCTCAATAGGTGTTCTGTGGAACAACTCAACTTTTGTTATGATAGACAAGTTTGAAGAAAAAGGGTTTTGTGCACATGTGATGAAAACTAAGTCTTTAAGTTTGGAGATATTTATCATTGCACATATTGCTAGATGACATATTTCACTGACAGGTGTTGTTTTCAGGGAAATAATGGTAACCTTTATAAACAAATATACTATACAATACCTAACATTAACTGGAGTATTTTAATTCTAAATTTGCAACTTTTCTAACATTTGTAGTCAACCTGGAGACCTATTATTGTCCCTGAAGAAAACCCAGATACTCGCCGCCCCACTAACCATGAACTGTGTTCAGCTGTTATCTCACTGGGTCAATTGCTATCTGTGTGACACAGTTTATTGATCATTGGTGAGAATGAAACATACATGCCAGTATGAGCTGCCAAGCAAAATGTCCTGTTTGAATTGACATGAAGCTATGTGAGCATGTGGCATGTCAGGTCAACATATCTGACCCTGTAGAACATGACCAACTTACTGATACAAACTGAGCATTACTCATTACTTGTCAATAAAATTCAAAACCATATCTACTAAATAACCACAGGCGAACTAATCATTCCGCGCGGCTGGAGTCAAAGCAGAAGAAGTTGATTGTGCTAATATGTTTGGTATCTGTACCAGACTGGAATCCTAATACGATGCTGGAACTTTAATAGTAGGTAAACAACACCTGTAGATGCAACAGCTGGGAACACAGCATATGGTTCATGAAGATTTACCCCATTGGCTGTGATAGACGGTGGTGTGATGCAGTACAAGGCATGTCCCCACTGAGATAACCTTGGTAATACAGCACTAGATATGTCAACAGTGAGATAACCTTGGTAATACAGCACTAGACATGTCCACACTGAGATAACCTTGGTAATACAGCACTAGACATGTCCACACTGAGATAACTTTGGTAGTGCAGCACTAGACATGTCCAGTGAGATAACTTTGGTAGTGCAGCACTAGACATGTCCACAGTGAGATAACTTTGGTAGTGCAGCACTAGACATGTCCACAGTGAGAAAACTTTGGTAGTGCAGCACTAGACATGTCCTCACTGAGGTAACTTTGGTAGTGCAGCACCTAACATGTCTAGACAGCGATGGCAGGTGTCCGAGTTATGCATATTTGATCTTCTATAGCAGCTAATACCACATTATGGGTATTTACCTTGTACAAGCAGTGTAGGATCTCACTTGTCCATAGTCTTACTGATGACACATGCACAAAAACATAAGCAGAACAAGCGTTACTTTGTAAGACAGGTAAAATAGATCCAAACACTGTTGTTTACATTTGTGTGTATTTATCGGGATTTGATGCCCAGAGGTTTTAAATGTTCACAGTTTTCTTGACAAGGTACATGTCCTTCATTGGCATCAATAATATGAAAGGACATACAGAGATTACTGCACAAAACAATCCTTCAAATACCCTTCATGTGGCCATTGTCAGACAGACGGTCTTATCTGCCCTAAAATCAATTTTAGCATCCACTTGATTAATATTTGGCATGTATCCACATTCTGACAGTGGCACAAGTAAGTGATGTCATCTAGCTCACTCCCATACCTGGTGTGACATATCTGTGGATTATCAGGGCGATGATGACAAAGAAAACTAGAACATTCTAAAACTGCAACGTTTTGGCACAGGTGTGAATTTGAACAGGGAAACTTGTCGACGAATTACACTTTGGAAAGTTGTCCGTCAATCTGATTATTAGCCATACCTTGGAGAAGCCAGTCACAGACCTAGAGATTCATCTCCCATGTTTGTGACCTGTTATCTCAAAAGGGTTTCTCACCCGTGACTGTGTAAGAAACTTTCTTATGTAATTGTTAGCAGACTTCTGGAAACAAGTTTCTCTGGGATTGTCAAAATGATGAACATGGACTTGTGTACCTGAATATTTTATTTGGCACAGCATTAGGTGTATGATAATTGATGAAGTCACATAGTTGTGTTATATACTTTGAGAGAGCCACACAGGATATGAACAGACACATAATTTAGGATGGAGTAAACAAAATGTGTTGGCTTGCTCTCACGTGTATTCACACACGCATACACACATATGAGTATTACCTCCACACACCTTTGGTTACAACTGACCATTACTGCAAGTGCATAGTTCATTACATGAAGTGGATGAAAACACTCTGATATTATCTTGTCTGAAAAATAAGAAGCACTATTCAAATGATGGATTCAAGTTATGTCCTGTTTGACATTACTATTGAGCCAGGATACCTGACCCTGTTAACTTGCTCAACACAAAACTGTCATCATTGAATAGAACAGGGGCAATGTTGAGCAACCACATCATTTATACTTTTATAGTGCAACTTTGTAAAGCCAGAAATATTTTAGATGCTCCTTTTGTGGGATTTCACATCTGGGGTAAACATGATGTAAGTTATACAGCAGACAATGTAGAAAAAGTAAAACCTGTAAAACAGCACTATCTTTGTGTTCATAAAACAGTCATTCTGCATTTTCGTAATCACTGAAATGGCAATACCAAAAGCAACCTAGTGGATGCATTCACAAGAATGCAGACATGAAATCATTACCGTATAGGTTCTAATGGACAAAAGGTAAAAAAGACTGTGAGCCTATTAAAAATGTTCAAAAATGCTCCTATAGATTAGTTTGAAATAAATACACAGACAAGCATGATAAATATGTCCTCAAAATGTAATTAGTAAAGTTTCACTTACAGGAATAACATGGTGGAACACTAAATGAGCAAGCCCTCGGTGTTAGTACATGGAGTTAACACTGAAACAAACTAGATGCAGGCTTCGGAATAGCGGCTGCGGTCACAGACTAGTCACATATTCAGCACAGATGTAATTGCCATTTACTTTATCCCCCCTTGCCATTTCCCAGTGAGTGTCATTGACAAGATGGCTCTCTCCGATGAGATGCCTGGTTACACCAGCCAGGGAAGCTGAAACACGGCCAGACAGGAATTATGTACAGGTGGTAATGATACCGGCATGTTTTGCAGCCATGGATGTATGATCATCAGCTAGCTCACCACTGGTACCAGACCATGTCACTAACTTGCCTGTCACCAAAATATTTAGGCAAGTCTTCACCAACTATGAAATATTCCAAACAGGCCGTGCTAAACACTTTTAGCCTACTTTGTACTAGCTGGAAAATATCTTTCAATGTCAGTTTTTAGAATGATTTTGATATTAAACATGCCTAACTTATGAATGATGGAGTTGGATTTAATTTTGTTTTGAAGAGTATTTAAGTCATATCACAGCATACCTGCCTTAACAGGGAGGAAAACACAATGTAACGTAGGGTCCAAGACATTTTACATAAATCTGTGAATCTCATAAGCATTGGCATGGTGCAGACAGATCAGTAATGGAGTATGTGGGGTCTGAACCTATGATCACAGCTGGACCTGCACCTCTAAGGCATGCAACTCTTCATGGCAAATTGTGACACCTCAGATGGCTGGGCTGTCTGTGACCACAGGAAACAGATTGGGTCTGATCACCAGTGCTAAAATGTGTAGAATGAGGGATGGGGCTAGTGATTAAAGGCACTGACTGCTGAACACAGCTATCAAGCATTTCAATGATGTGTAAATTATCAATAAACAAAGAATTACAAAATATATACAGCCTTTAGAAGAGGATGACCATACATCAGATGGTATCACTGCCATGTTCAATCTTCTGATGACCTTCATATCATAAACTGATAATCCTTCACAATTAAAATATGAGGACAATCCTGGGTCCACAAGCAAGGCTATCTGGTATTGTTTTTAAATGTAAGGATCCCTTTAAGTTTTAACTGTACAGAAATGACAAGGACACCAAGACTTTCATTCTTAATCTCAAACACTTCTTCTTCACCGCTGTTAGTGACATGCCCGTCAAGTTAAAACACTCCCACACAAACTGAAATGAAGCACATACACAGCTGTTTTCTTCAGTAATGGACATAAAACTTTCACCATCCTATATTACAACAATATACAGTGTAGACTTAGAGAACATGTACATTATATACAGCAGAAGTTGCAGAACCACCAACTTTGTCAAAACCATCAACAACCAAGCATGAAGACCACAATAAATCATTACATTTTTCACCTCTGTCTCGCATGACTGTAGTGTCCCCAGGCAACTAGTGATTAGATCGTATATAAATATGTGCGGAAACATAGAGCTAGAAGTAAAGAGTTGCTTGAGGTAAAAAACACAGAAGCAAGGTCCGAATAACATTAACAACAGATGCAGAGGACTGCATGAGGACGTGTAGGAACAGTCCACAGGAACAGTCTACAGGATGCACAAATTGGGATGCCATCATTGGCGCCAACAAACATGTGAAATTCCAGCAGTTTCTTAGGAGAAGCTCACTCAACTAACATGTCTTGATGTAAGTTCATTCTACTTTCTGTCAGGGAATAATAAATCTTGGACGTAACACTGACAAAAACAGAATTAATTTACTTACTGCAGCTGACAAAGACTGTAACTTAGCCCTAAGTCTAAGTCAAGTAAGCGTTACCAGAACTGATGCTACAACATTCAGCCTTTATCATTCACACTGAAGTTTCAGTAGCAGCATCTAACAAGCAAATATTCATTGAAGGAAGACTCTCAAAACTTTCTGAACTAAGATTTTTTGTTTAGATATGTTTGTATGTTATTATTTCTTCACATAAGCAGACATGTTTTGAATAATCATGTTTTTGCCTGGAAATGTCCAACAGTGCTCAGGAAACAGCTGAGAACCACTCATCCCTTTCCTGACAACCTGGCATTTTCACTTTCACAGTAGTAACTCACTAACTGTCATTCTGTGTTTTGCCTGCCCATTGGTAATTCTGCTACATCATGGCTTTGACAAAGCTCATCGCCATCATTCATACATGTCCGTTGAAATAATACAAAGTTCCGAATATGATAGGAATCACAATACAGAGAACAACAATGGTTGTTATGATCGTGCGGTGTGACATTCCACAGTCTGCTCCGTTGTACGCCTGGGATTTCTTCCTTTCAAGAGGGTAGAATGTTTTGTTTGTTAGCACTGATATGACTTCATCAAGAGAGTTGCGATCACCTCGAGATTGTTTCATTTTAGACAAATCTTTATCCATGCTTTTAAGAAAATTCTCAGCTTCTCTGCTTTGGGAGTTTATATTATCTCGTATACTCAAAGTCCGGATGATTTTCATCTGTGTGTCGGGGTCACTGAGGTCATGGGAGGACTCAGGGTCTTCGTAGTTATCCAGCAGGGGGCCAGTTTCCTCAGAGAAACTTGTACTGTTGAGTTCCATAGAAAACTTTCCTCTTGAACTTTTCTTTTTCTCCTCTTCAATAACTTCTGACAACAGTCCAAATCTCTTGATAGGCACTTTTATTTTCCTCAGAGCATAGAAGTCTTGATCCCGAATCAAATTATTTATTCTCTTCAACTCTGACACCTGGCAACACAAAAACATACGATACATGATGCATATGGATGACATTATGATTTGATAGCTGAAACAGCTTGTGTCTAGGCTGCTGCCTTACAAGTGAGTGCAACAATCTGTGCCTGTTCCCAATCGAACCATCCAGCTAATCACTCTATTAAATTTACTGTCAGTTCTGTGTATGTATTTCATGCATGCAATTCTGTATCATTTGACTGACAAACCAAGCAAAATAGTTTTGCAAAGTTTCCATAAAATGAAAAAAAACAAAAAAACATTAGGACTTATTCACAGAGAAACTACTCATTCCTGACTGATTAATAACAGAATGGGTAGGGCGTGTGTAGCATTGTCACTGATTTCTTACTGCTGCCTACAGTTCTGTGTATGGTAATCATTAAGCAAGCAGTTTGTGAATTCATTATGTATTTATTCATAGGATGTTTTTTCAATAGGTACTTGAGTTAATGGAGTTACATACACAAGAAACGATGTTCACCATTTGTGAAACTCCCCAGTACTTATGTTCTCCGCTGTGCACACAGGCTTTATGTTTATACCTCCATAAACAAATCAATATTTTAGTCAATTTGTACAAACACTAAATGATGAAACCAGTGTCACTACAACAGTAATAAAAAACAAACCAAAAAACTTTCAAGTATAACAAATGAAACAAAGAGTGCTTCTTAATAATGCTAACAATTAAATTAATGGGGTTTTTTTGCAACTCATATCTCAGAGCAGACAAAAAGCTTCTCGAGTTTTCTGGTTACACATGAAGACTTATCATTTCAACTTCATTTACTGTTCTACTAAGCATTGTTTTACACACAAAGCCTAAGAATAAGATTACTAAATGTTCTTGTCTTTTAAACTAAGGTTCAATGACAATTATCTGTAAAAGTATATTCTCCCAGATCTACCACTAGTACCAGTGATTCAGATAAAAACTGCCTTTAATATATGTAGCAGTGATGTTTTCACGTATTTTATATATTGTATGTTTTATTTTAGTGTCAATAAAAAGTTATGAAAACAAGAAAAAATTGTGTCCAGGGAGACGGATGCCCCCGCTGACATTCATAAGACATATAAAGATCAATAATTGAACAAAATTCACGAACAAGTTCAATAAACATCTATGCAACTATGAGATGCACACCTTTCGAGTCCCAATGAAACACATGTATAAGCTTAATCAATTCTGTTAAGCAGCTTTTGTGGAGAAGTGGATAGGACTTCATCCGCTATAACACTATATTCAGAGAGAAATTCAACAAAAATTTGTAAGTTCAAACGGCATTAAAATTGGAAAAATAGATAAAATACAAAATAAAAATAGGAAATGCACGCCTTTAGAGTCCCTATAAAGCACATGTGTAATCTAAATGAATTCCATAAAGTAGTTTTTGAGGGGAAGTGGATAACGTACACCCCCTGTTGGATGGAACAGACTGAATAGAACAAAATTCAACTAAGTTCAAACATCTGTAAAAGTGACAAAATTAAGAAATTGCATAAATAATTATGAAATGCACACCTTTAGAGTCCCTACGAAAGACATGTAGAAGTTCATTCAATTCTGTTGAGCAGTTTTTGTGGAGAAGTGGATAGACTTCATCCCCTATTACACTATCATCAGAGAGAAATTCAGCAAAATGTACCCAAGTTCAAATGTCTCTAATCTTACAAGCAAAACCACAATAAAATACAAAAACAAAATATGAGATGCACACCATCTGAATCCCAAGAAAGCCCATGTATAAGTTTATTGAATTCCACAGAGCGCTTTTTGTGGAGAAGTGGATAGAGTACATTCCCTGTTTCGGACGGACGGATGGACGGACACGGAGGGTAACCCTATATGCCCCCAGCCATATATGGCGTCGGCACAAAAAAACATTTCCTTTTTTGGTGTTGTACAGTTTTGTGGTAGACTAACAACTAGTCTCTGAAATGAACACATTTTACTGAAAAATGTTCATAGTCAAAAAAAAAAATAATATAATGAAAAGGAGCCCTGAGACTTTCTTCATCCTGAAGCTGAGGAAATCTAGACTTGCCACATTTTCTAGACTTGCGTGGGCTTTCTTGGATATATTTGCTTCAGGGTCTGTACGAGAGACTAAGTTTTGTGGGTAATAGTATTCATGATATTCTCTTTGCCTGTTGTCTGGTTAGGCCAGGTTGATGAACATGCATATCACATGCATTTCATGTTGGTGGGAATCTTTGTGATAATATTGAGGATTTGATTGGCTGGTTGGATCATCTGTTTCAGTAAGATGATACCTCGTGGTTTCTGGTGGTTGTCATTGTGTTCTGAGTGCCAAACATGTGAGGCCAAGCCAGAGTTGTCACAAGGTTAGTTTATGTTTGGTTGTACAAATTCTTTATAAAGTTGTCAGGTTATAAAGTATTTAACTTGCTGTTCTAGGCTAAAAATGTCTATTAGCATTTTAAAAATGTAAATGTTATGCTTAGCTACACTGGTTCAGCCTGTAAAATATTAACACCTATAGTCCGTTTGGCTCAAAAGCAGACCGATGAATTGCAATATAACTCGAAAACTAATAAACATATAATACTCAATGAAACACTGATCATAATCAAAACATCAGACCAACTCTGTGATTTGTTTGCAGAATTTATGTTCTAAAATTAAAAAAGTTGTTTAACAAACTATCATTAAAATTTTGACACAGTTCACCATTTGTTACCAGTGAGGAGTGCAGAGAAAGGGACAGCCAGGTGTTAGAGAAGAACGTGCACAAGTGCCGACAACGTTATTGATTCATTAACTTGTGCTGTGCCAACTCCATCCTTTCTCGCACACCTGGCTGTCCCTTTCTCTGCACTCGTAACAGAGAGTGAATTGTGTCGATATTTTAATGATAGTTTGTTAAACGTTTTTATTTTTAGGACATAAATTCTGCAAAAACCTCACAGAGTTGGTCTGAGGTTTTGATTATGATCAGTGTTTCATTGAGTATTTTATGTTTATTAGTTTTCGAGTTAGATTGCATTGAGATTTACCAATGCCATCTTGTTGAAACCCAGGAAATGTATATGGTGCATACAAAGATCATTAAATGGCCCAGTGTCAGAATCAAACCCATGATCATTAGATACCAGCACGACTTGTTTCCAAAGTGCAGCTTGGCAGGGTCATTTAAGCACCTCTAAACATGCTAAAAGACTTCAAAGAGGGATTAAGCTGATCGATTGGTGCTGATATAAGTTGAGGTTAGATAGTAAATTTGGTTGAATTTGTGAAAATGCAAATACATATCAACAGTAATCTATTACAACTGTTACTACTTGAATGACATATCCAATTTGAGTTGTTTGGATTGATAGGTTTACAGGTTGACATTGAGCATGTTGAGGAAGCAGCAATTTGAATCTAGTCTCGCTTTATATTAGTGACAGAGTGCATTTGTTTTAATCATGGTGTGTCAGCTTAATGCGGGAGTGATGCATGTCTCTGGCATTTACAGATGTGGTGAATCCAATGGGTGGTGCTGACAAACCTAGAAATACAAAACGTGTGAACTTCGATTCAAACCACCATAGACTTCTGGCTTGCCCAAGTGACACTATTAGTCACTATGCAGCAAATTGGGGGATTTGGGACAACTATGCCACCTTGCTCTCTCTTCAAAGAAACTGCACCATTTGACACAAAAAGTACTGCCTAATCTCCTGTTTGAAAACAGACTACACTGGCACTCACTGGACAAGAATACTGTAGGGCAATTTTCTGCAGCGTGTCGCCTTCAGCGAGCTCCTTGTCGAAGAATGAAGGTTCACTTTCCGTAACCATTTCGCGTGAAGGTTGTGATATTCCACGCCTCGATCTGATTTCGGACATTTCCAATTCATACTCCTCCTCATCGTCCTGAACAACTGCGTCGTTCCCAAACACATAAACTTTCGAAGACTTGACATTTTGAATCTGGCCGGATGAGAACTGGATGTCAGTTTTCTTTGACAGCAGTGAATCCCGGCTGGCCCCTCTCGTATACCCTCTACTCATAACAACGATTTTTTTCTTCCACAATAAACTTCCAAGGACCAGACATGCTCCCTATGTATTCAGTGACAGGAGATAAAACCTATAACTTTAGCCATTGCAATCAGTCAACAACTTGACAGAAGTTTCGTCTCCACGTAGAGGAACTGCATGGCAAACAGGAAGTAGTAAGTCTGCGCATGTGAAATACTAAAGAACGACAACTCTGACAGAATCTACAATCTGAAACATGTTATGTGAAAACAATATTAATGTCTGGTGAAAATAATATTAAATGACCACTGTCATCAGATTTCAAGAACATATACTCCAATCCAGTCATTCGTTTTATCGCATTATTGTTTTACACGATACTAATAATCTTTATCGATTGGAATTCACTTACTAAAAGAACGAATCGGCGTCTTGGTTTACAGGTAAAGTTAAGTTCACACCTCACTTCCGGATTAAAGTTCCAAAGAGACAAACTACTGGAAATTTCGAATTAGAAATTGCTCAACCGAGATGGTGTGCGTTCCCTGTATCGTTATTCCATTTGTACTGTGGGTTTTCCACAAATATATCCGACCTGTTCTTATCAAAATATGGAATCCATTCGGTATACTGGGTAAAGAAGACACACAAACTGACAAATCGGCACAAGACGAAAACCAAAAGGTTAGTTTTCCCTTCTGTGATTGTACCAGCTTGAAGCATAATCTATCCCTGTACAATTCACTTGGGAATTAAGACACAGTCTAACTAACGTTCTGCATTTTTAAGACAATCAGCCACTCACCAATGGTTAAAATCAAGTGCTATGAAATGAATGAAAATATGGAAGATAAAAGGGCTGTGGTTATAACATAACCATAGCCCTTATATCTTCCATAGGTTCACATGCATTATACCGGATACCTGCCTGCCATATTTAATTAGGTCATGTGATGCGAGCGCGGAAAGGTGAAGAAATATAATACTGAGATGAAAATAACCCCAACCCCTAACATCCTAACAAAATTCATCGCATAAACAGGCATAACCATGATTTACTATATCCTAATAATACGATTAAGATTCAGCTGGGTACACATGCATTATACCAGATACCTGGTATGTATAGGTCAAGACTCAGCCCTCTTAAAGACTCACTTATCATATCAACATGTTAATCAAATCATGTTAATTTCTTTGAAACATGCTCTATTCATGCTGTCAAGTTGATTGGTCTGTGCTGAGAGCATGTATTTTAAGCATTACACTTACTATAATATTTTTACCGATTAAGCATACATATTATATCTAAAACCAATATGAAAGAGAATTAGCTATGAATTTAATCAGGGTTAGGTAACACCAATTCTAAAAGCCTGTCCACCAAAAGGTGGCAGGCATGAATTGCTCTTTTGCTTTCCCATTTGATTACTCTTAGGTCATATTGACATGATTAAGATGAAGTGTCAAATACACCTCTTTGAGAATACATTTTCATGACTGATCATCAACTTTACCTTTTGTTAACCATGAAATTCGAGATATTTCAACTGTAATTGTGAATTCTAGTCTTCCTCTGAACAAGATGTAATACAAATACTGCTAATTGTTTTCAGTGAAACATCTGTTATATTCTTATTGTTTCAGTCACCAACAGAGCAAAATGGAGTTTTAAAATCCCATGAAAATGGTATACAGAATGGCATTGCAAATGGAGGGGTGACAGTTGGTGGTTCCAGTAAGAAAGATGACTGACAGAATTCCCAAGATGATATTTCAAGACAATTACTTTCAAGAAGAATGGGCATGAGGAAAAAGAGAGAAGATATGATGGTTTCCTAAAAAAAAAAGACCTTCATTGTTTATACAGATATTTTAACATACAAGAGTCAGACTTGTCAAAACTTTGTCAAACTGAATCTCTCTTGCTCAAAAGTGAACACTTTCATTCTGAATATTGAAACATTTGATTGTGCAGCTTGTTCAAGGACAGCATCTTTAGTATTCCACTGATCAATTTTAAGTTCAACACTTCATTTGTATTAGAACCACAGGTATCTTAATATCCAAGATGGTAATAGCAAACATTGAATTTCCATCTTTCTTTATTTATCATGTTTATTTGGATGTGGTTAACATGTAAGGTGTGTTGTATTTCAAAATGGTTACCTGTATACATAGTACACGACTGGTGTGACCACTTTCTTTTGGTTTAATAACAAGAAATATGAAACAATTTTACATCACTTCCATGGTGGCACATTTCAAGTAATTGAGGCATATATATTGTGTACAAGAACCAATTACACATTGTTGTCTGTGTGCCGAGACTCAAGTCCCCACTCTTAAGAAAATAATACTGCAAAGACGGCTTTGTGCAACTTGCTTCAGATCAGGTATATTTTACTGGTTTCACCATTATCATGATATTGATGTAATGTTTTCATTATCTAATATGCCATTCTGGATATCTTTTTGCAGGGGTAACCATGGTAATTGTTGGTAGGTTTTATTACTAAATGTTTTAACTATTTTAAATATGATTATCCCAGTCACAAATTTGAAGCAGATTATGTTATTATTGTCCAACAAATGTTGTTGGTGTGTGAAATTCGAGTTCTAGTTCCTATATCTCTTGTATTGTTCATTCTAGAGCGAGTAAAGCTTCAGACTTGGTTTGCCTATGACCAAAATGATGGCTGTGATACAGAAAATGTCTGAACTAAGTTTCAATATTAACATGTTTGTCTTATTTATAATCATGTTAATAACGATTGTAAAATAAAACCTCTTAAGAATACTAGTCCTTCGTTGTAACTATGTCCACAGCAAGCCCCACTTTGGAATGGGGCTAAAATCCAGAAACAGTTTTGTGGACATGATGGATAGAAGAGTATGTTGCTTGTTTAATGCTGCTCTTGGCAATAATTTAGCTGCATGGGGGGAGGTCCATAAATGATTAAGTTTGAACCAGACAATACAGTGATTCATAATCTGAACAATAATCCATGTCATGACATGCTATAAATCAAGTCAAAGAGAATGACCACCAGAATACTTGAAGTAGAATGGTATAGGGTCACCTTTAGTCTCTAAGAGTGATGGATATTATGGAAAGTATTCAAGAACAAAAATGTAATTGTATTATTTTGCTTTTATTGAAGGTGTATTTATAAGGATGATACAGGGGAAATATTTGGCCCTCTACCGTGTGTACCAAAATTAATGTTCCCACGAGCACTCTTGTTTCTGATGTTTTCTGATCATTATCATTACTGTGATTATGTTGTGCTCTGATAAAATCCAAGTAGTTTTACTTGTAAATATTTGTGGGATATTAGAAACTATTAATTCAAACTAGAAATATTCTGGGAAAGATCTGTAGCCCTGTACACTTATTCTCTGTATAGCAATTTGTGTATCTTGTATGTTTCCTGTGGCGTGTCTGTGGAGATCCATCATCAGCGTCAAGATCCTGGAATTCCCTGAGCAACCAGTCAATAGACACATGGCCAGGCTTAATTCTTCCTCTTGTGAAACACCACATGCAGTTATCTCAGTTCTTAGCATTATCTGATGGAGCGGTCTCATCTAAATCTTTTACTGTAATATATCTAACACATGCTTTATTTTGTTGGTGGATTAACATAACAACATTCCACCAGTGGGATAGGTGCCTGCAAGTAGCCAGGCCAGACAGAAAACATCCATGCCATGTGGATACAATGACACAACAATAAACCAATAAATCAATGAGCTCATCCATATATTCTTCTCTGTAACCTTTTTAAACAAGCACAGGGGATGGTGGATGTATCTAACTTGGAATCCCATTGGGATCAATCACACAAATAGGAACATGGCATTTTCCGACCAGTCTTCCCAAGCCTATTCACACAACACCAGCAACAACCAACTCTGGTCAACTGGACTGCACTTTCATCATGGTGAACATTACTACAGTCCGTGATAACCACTTGGCCACACATCATCTTGTCCATCACATTCACAGGTACATCTCTGTGTGCTCCCATACCACTCAGTACCACTCAGCTGATAAGCTCTGTTTTACATCATCCTGGTTTTCACGCCTCAGCTTGGTCATGATGGACGACTCGCCACTCTTCCTTATCCGTCGGGCATTCTGTTTCATCTTTTTCCTCATCATCTGACCTTTCACCTTCCTCTTGATGAGGTCAGGATGTATTGTGGAACTGGCCACACTGACATTATCTCGATCTGACTGCCTCAGGTGAAGGTTTGTGTGTGCCATGCTGTCTTCAGTTCTGAATGGCCGATATGACCTATTGACCTCTCTCAAATCCTCAACATCCTCCTCTTCGTCACAGCCGCTGTCTGCACTTTCCTGCTGACACAAGTCTGCAGGTTCTGTCCTTGGTTGATCCGCTCCTTCAGATTGGTCACAACTCAACTTGGTCCCTGACATACTGCTGACAATGTCTGCACAGCCCTCTGAAACTGTTGCCTCAGTACTCCCATCATCTGCACCCACATCCTGGGAACATCCTGCCAACCATGCCGAAACTCGGGGATTAGTTTCCATGGCAACAGCACCTTCTTCCTTGACCGGGGCTTGAGTTTCTGCTTCTTCATCAACATCCTCTTCTGTGTCTTCATCTCCATCCATATCTCGAGCTCTTCCACAATCCGGTCCCCCGAGAATGCCCAGGTCATCTGCAGCCTGCAAAAGAAATGCCAAACTCCAACATAATACTTGAACATGACACTTCAAAGAAACAGCTTACTTAACCATCATCCTTAAAACACGTCACTTGCACTGTCCAACCAACAGACAAAAACAATAATCAAATTATTTGAGACTAGACACAAATGCTGTAGGTGCAGGATATTCCCAGTTCACTACACTAATGGCATCCCTATATCTGTACATTGAATCATATGCTACCCCTCTGTAGTCTGATTTCCATCCTTTCTTAATTTTGAAAATTGATATCCTATATTTGTTCAGTTATTTTGATCTGATCCTTCTCGTCTTAAATGTGCTTCTGTACCTCATCAAATGAAGCAGCCATCTCTTTCGTGAAGCCACTAGCAGATACTTCAACATCCAAATTGTCTTCCCGTCTGAAACAAATGAGGGATTGTACTTGTGTTTGGTAGAGTGTTATAACTCAAGTAACTTCAGAGACAAAGGTCAGATACTTCTGGTTGCCAGGTTGATACACTCACTGAGTATCAGACAAAGTTAAAGCTAAGCTTCTGTTGGAGCAAACACTAAATTACAACAGTATATCATGAAATATCCACACAAAAATTTGCAGATGACACAACATACTGAACTTGTGCATTCTTCAAAGTGAAGTATGTGATAATAATATAGGAAATTGTTATCACCACTTGCAATAATTTTGGAATTCGAAGTCCTGAGCTATTGTGTCTCCTACGACAGGGCCATCTCTCCCGTAACATGACACACGATACACAAGTAATTGTCAGCTTGGTACTTACTTGACATCTTTAAATGTTGGGTAAAGTTCTCCTACAACAGGGCCATCTCTCCCGTAACATGACACACGATACACGAGTAATTGTCAGCTTGGTACATTGTACTTACTTGACATCTTTAAATGTTGGGTAAAGTTCACTCTCGTAAGTGAATCTTTTGAGGAAGAAGTCTCGGATGCACTGAACATCACGATTAAAGTACCTGAAAGTGGAACACAGAAGACATACAGCATTGCGACCACCCAAGAAGCCATGTCTATACCCTACCCACTGCAACAGCTCACATGTACCAGCCTCACCATAATAAGTGTCTTTGTAGTCTAGACAATAGGGTTAGATTTGTTTTCAGAGATCAATTATTGATGAACAAACTTAGGTTAAACATTGAATAAATTCAACACTTTTGATAAGAGATACAAGCAAATGACAAACTTTCTGGCCCAGGGTTTCCTGACATCAACAATCTCACCATTCAGCATTTGGATGGTTGATGGATACCATCTGCGGGAAGTCGATCATTGTGACTCGATCCTCACTGTCCACCATCAGATTAAACTCATTGAAGTCGCCATGTATGACGCCACAGTTTCCCAGCCTAACAATGAGTTCCATGCAGTCACTGTACACCGTGGCGGGGTCTTGGAGCTGGTGGACCTGGCACCTGGAGGAGATGGCAGTACATTAGGGGAACAATCACTCTGATGAATTAATTACATCTACTACCTCTAATGAGCATCTTGGCATCTTCTTTCACAGATGTCAGTTTGGAAAAATAAAAACTACTATAAGATAGTGTGACTGTCTGGATTCACTCTTTCTTATCTTGCATTTTCCAAAATACTTGTAAGTTGCCTGAATCAACAAATACTAAAATCATGACATTTAAGCCCCACAGGGCGAGATGGAACTAGCTTTCAATAATAGTCTTACATGGGGTGAGCGGCCAACAGCTCCATTACAACTGCATGACGGTTGAAGTCCACAGGCTTTGGTACAGGAAATCCCCTTTCAAACAGAGCCTGTGGAATAGAGGACTTGTGTTAGTAGAAGGTTCATCATCGCAGCAGCTTTCTGTTCAACGCCTTTATTAGAGAGAGAGAGATAATGTTTATTTGAGTCTCACTTTCTGTACATTGTCATAGAATGCATGCGTTTTGTACAAAAGTTAATAGTACAGAAACCACCCGTTGGGTTATGGGAGACTATATTAAATCAATAAAAACATTGTGAACCAACAAATATCAGCACACGTATAATCGTATACATTTAAAGTTAACACGTACAGGTATGCATACATACATAACATATATACAGCAAACATACATACAAACAAACATATAATCACATATACAAAACAGCATACAACCGCACATAATATACGCATACACACATACATACATACACACATACAGACAGACCTAATACACGTATACACACACACACACACACGCATGCATGCATGCACACACACCCAATATACGCACGCACGCATACACACACACACATACATACATACACACATATATACATACATACACACACATAAATATACATGTATTATAATCATACATTCAATACTAACATATACTAGTATGCAGAATACAGATACCCTACACACAATATCATTAACACAATACAAACAATACAATGAAGTACAATATAGTTACGTACATTTGTACTGCTGTTACAATGCCTAACATTTATGTCTAGGATGGGATGTGTGTTACACAGGCCACTCCTTATCCATTGTGAGTACCTGGATCCACATCCAATATATTCCAACATCACTCGTGAATATGTTGGGCTGATACATTGTGTGGTGGTGGTGGTGTGTGTCAAGTTTTCATCAACCAGTGAGTGAGTGTGTTTAGTTTTATGTCACACTCAACAATATTCCAGCTATACGGTGGCAGTCTGTAAATAATCCCACGTTCAATAGCATGAGCATTAATCTACGTAATTGGGATATGATGACGTGTCAACCAAGTCAGCAAGCCTGACCACCCAATCCTGTTAGTTGCCTCTTACGACAAGCATAGGTTACTGAAGATCAATTCTAACCTGGACCTTCACCGGTATCGTCATGAGACTGTGAAGTTGTATGAGCCCTTCTCCATGTATGATGGGTGTATCAACACTACAACTGTCGTATTACAAATTCCCAGGTAATGTTTGGGATTAAAGGAAAGCATAACTATGCATTAAATGCGATAACAATTTTAGTCAAGAATATCATATACAACTGTAGTAAGAAAGGTTTCATTCCAAATATTTCATATATCAAGAGAAAAATCATAAAATATTATAATACCACAAAATATGGATACATTAATCTTGACCAGGAACCCTACTTCCTACAACCATGGTTCAGTTTACACATGCTGTTTAGAACCGTTGAGTAGGTAAATTATTTCGATGTACATGTAACAATGTTATCGACAGTTATACTGAAGTATTATCAACCTTACATGTATGTACATATGTATTGAACTGTATACTTTTCATATGTCAACCTGTATGTATACCTGAAAAAAGCGAAATAAAAAAACCCGCCCTACAACTGTTTGACACTGAAGAAATGTATGGAGCACATACCACAATGCCACGGCACATTTGGCACAGACTGTCAGTTCAGAAACAGTACTGTTTTATGACCCATAAAGCATGTAAAGTATGCATTGGTCTGAGAACTAACTGTAACCAGGTCATCGCTATAACTGCACCCCTGTGTATAATGTACATATACAGAATCTCACAGTGTACAAATACACAGGTAGAAGTTTGATTTCTTCATAGACTTGTCCAAAGACTATGGGAAACCTTATTTCTCTCATCCTTGTTGCTGGTTCTGCTTGAATGACACAAAAATGTGTACTATATCTATATCTTTAGTCAGTTTTATTCACTTCCAGCAAAACTGAAGCATTGAGGACTGGATCTGATTACAGACCCCAAATGCTTCAATTCAATGAAGCCTTCCATTGATTTTAGCTTGTCATTGAGAATACACATTTAGGATACAATGACATACATCAAGCAAATCAGCAAGTCTGACCACTCAAGTCCATTAGGCTCATTTTACGACAAGCATGAGTTACTGAAGACCAATATCGGTGAGGTGAGGTGAAATTGGGTTTAACGTTGTGCTTGAGAATATTTCGCTCATATGACGATGTGCATGCGTGTATGTGTATGTGCGGCTGCTTGTACTAGCCCAGACTGAAGCTGGTTTTATAGTGCTAGCCCACTGAGATACTATGCCGCAGTGAAGCATGAATACCCCACTCAGACACATTATACTGACTCCGAGCTGACCAGTCCTTAATGTACCCATTAATGCTGAGCGCCAGGCAAGGACCAACAATTAGTGGTGGTCCGATTAATTGAAATAATCGAAGATTGGTTGCAGTGACTAAACCACCAAACAATCGAACATGTTATCTCATCATCGAACACAAACAATTCTGGAACACTTGTTTGCATTAACAATATTTTTCACAAGGATGGTTTTGTCTGTTACATTTAATGACCACTACAAGCTCGTTCCAAGTCATGATTGAATTTATCTTAAAGACTCCAAGAAATTAATGTTCCTAACCTACTAGTCATCCTTCAAAGATGTGAAATTTGCAAATGCATTTTGTGCAATTTGCAAAAACACCAAAGAACTACATGTTTTTCATAAATGACGCTAACAAATTATTTTCGATGATTGATCGGTTGTAATGAACCAATCATCAATTATGAGATTTTAACCAATTCCCAGCACTACCAACAAGTACCATATTTTAACGGCTTTTGGTATGACGCGGTCGGGGATCGAACCCGCGACCTCCTGCTCTCCGGGCGAATGCTCTAACCACTACACCAGACGGTCATGTGTATATCGACACTCATGTGTTGTCTTCAACACAATGTAGTAGTTTCATGTTAGCAGACTAGCATGGATGGTTACATGACTGAAGTACTGACAATGCTCCTTACCTTCATGTAGGCAAACTCCTTCATAGCTGCCAGTCTGGCAAGATACAACCACGATGTGAACTTCCGATGTTTATGATAATCACGTTTATTTTTCAGTTGGCGGAAAGATGTTCTTCCAAGTCTGTAAGAAACCAAATCTTCTTAGAGTGCATATTATTATTGATAATGGAATTAAGTGGATCTTGTCAATATCACAAAATGGAAGCCATGCTCATAGGATCTTAACAGCAGCACAAAGGGCAACAACTCTGCAGAGCAATTTACCATAGATCTGAGACACAACATTTAACTACTATTTCATTGGAGAGTGAAGTTGGTCAACAATTTCTGAAATTCCTCAAAAAGTTCCTTCTATGGACATTTTAAACAACAGTACTTTAGTAGCATCAACAATCCATCTTCCAACATTTGAGATATATTTCTGGAAAAGGAAGATCTCTTCTCTCTGCCCTGACTGCTACTGATATATATAATGTCAACTCCCACCTGTGAAACTTCAAAGCCATCTGTACTTCCTCTTCATCAGCCACAATGTACACATCTGACAATAATAACAGTTTCCTCTTAACATCTCATGTAAGCCTCTCCATCTTATTTCAAAACTACTTTTCTGCAGCAAAGCACTGATCATTAATTTATATCGGGTATCAAGAAAAAACTTAACACTGCATTCACCTGATGATGGAGCAAAAAGCTCTGAAACATTGTGACAAGGAAGAAAAAGAAGCTAAGCCATAAAAATGTCTCATGTATTCATGTTCTTCTGACTTCTAAGTGCCTTTCAAAGACAACACCTGATGTTGTCAAAACTGCCTTGGTTTTATATCCATGCTACCTGTAAACATGCTTACTTGACTTGGCTGATTAACAAACATTCACAGAGTTATTGATGAATAGTTAGAGTTTCAACAGCTTGATGATACCTGATTCTTTTCCAACACCGATTTGATTGCCAAGAGAGAAGACTATGTTCCGACTTGCAAGAGCTTTTAGTGCTAAGTAGTCATAGCCCGAGTTGGTCAGTCTGTAGCCTTCAACTGGAATATAATAGAAGAACCTGATTAACATCTTACAGTACCATATGAATCATTGGCTTCTTTGAGGAACTAATGAACCTTTGAACAGCAATAGCACTGATCATTATAAAACATCTCTCTAGAGGATTTTCAGGTGATCATATATTTCGACCTAGAAGTACCACCAAAAACATTTGAGTTGCTTATCCAATCTGTACAAAGTCTGACACATTTCTATCAATGTTGTGTTGATCCAGTCACCACTGTCTGAGGTGTCTTTCTACCTACCCATAATTTGAGAGCCTCCTATTCCAAACACATTTTCTTTTAGGAAACGTTCAGATAGGTACAACAGATTCAATTTCTAGAGCAGAATATGTCTGCACTATCCCATGCTTGTCATGCCTGGGTGCTTGCAATGTTTTTTAAGCAGGATGATTGTCAACGTACCATTGATTGTTTGCCTCTCCCAGACTATACATGCAGTCACAAGAGCTTGAACATTCACTAGTCATTCTTCACACATCATCTCCACTTGTGAGCTATAAGCATGTTAAACACATTTTCATTGATAAACTTACAACGCTTCCCTCCCCTTTCATATGCAACCAACTTGTGTTTGGAAAGTTCTCGCAGGACCTTATGACATCCTCCCCCATGGAGACGGGCGATGGATGCGATGAGGGGAGACGGCACCATCTCATGATTCTTCATCCCCATCTCAACCTGTGGTTAAAACAATAACATTATAGGTGGATTTCTTGAAACTGTGTTCGATGCTTTACTGCATGTACAATACTTTGGTCAATGAAAACAACCATGGTCAACAAGTATAAAAAATATGGCCCATACATACCTTGACAAACGATGGAAATTATAATTACTGTTTTCATAACTGGGTTTCACATTTTAAGTTATTTAACTGATTCTTACAAACAATTGGGACCAAGCCTTAGGCAGGTCTAATTCTGGGGAACCTTTAAAATACAAAACCACAAGACGATCCTTGCCCGAGGACAGGTATCACTAAGGCAAGGCACGTGGTTTTGTTAGAATCTATATCTTATGAGACGTGAAGTCGCAACTGTTGAAATCTTATCCTCACAACTAACTGACTAAGCTAAAACTTAGTACAAAAGTTTAAGAGTGAATAGAAAAGGTAGAATGGGACAAAGATATTTACAGAGGGTTGGGGTAGGCATGGTTTCTCATGACAGTTAAGAGCGGTCACAATAAATCTGTAACTTAGTGTAAGGTACTGAGCAGTGAGGAACGGGTTAATATGTCAAACTGAAAACAGCTGAAGGCATGTGGTTCAGGGCATGCATGAATGACATATTGCATAACATGCATCCAACATGCTTTATTAAAACACCCAAAGATACACAGTAACTCTTATACTCTTCATGACATGATCCAGCATGCACTTATCACTGCTTATCAGCTGAAACTACAACATGAAACAGTTTTCAGTGTTAGGGCTCTGTTTTGTATTCAAATTTTAGTTGGGGTGTTCTGTACCCTTAAACGTAGCATGGGTACATATTTGTAGTACCCTAACTAAGAATGACCCTTCAGCTTTATTCAAGCCTTTCTCCCACCAATAAGTACGTTCAACTCATGTGTATATCCCTCCAACAAGAAACGAACAAATGATTACCACAACAACATCTGGACAATGTCACAGTTTCAGCTAATTATTCAGCACGAATTACAATCATCAATGACAATGATCAGAAAGGGGATCTATGGGCCAAGGACAGAGTTGGGTGTAACCCACCCTAACACAACTAACCCGTAGGATCGTGACCTGTGAACCGACGGCTACTGTACGTTGTGCCAAAGTGTATTGTTGCCATTACAATGCCTATACTGAAGACAGACCAGGGCCTGGTGAACAGACTCGGATGGTCACTACACAAACAGCACAGGCCATTTGTAACTGCCAACCTGTATTACTATGAGGCTGGCATTCAAGGACACTTCAGTCACTGCAGTGTACGCCTTACTACCAAACAAGACCTGTGCTGCATATGAAGAGCTCTTCCAGGCTGTAGTAGATAAATGTGAAGAACTTTGACTGGATGTATTTGTTGAAACTGTTGTCACAGACTTTGAGGACAGCATATTGCTTTCTGTAGTGTTAGTATTCGGCCGAGATGTCCAATCTCATGGATGCTTCTGTCACCTCACTCAAGCAACCTGGCACCACATACAAGACTTGGGATTAGTGCCACACTACGAAGCCAATGAAGAATTCCGACTTTACTGTGGTATGCTCGATTGCCTGGCATTCCTTCCAATAGATCAAGTGAAAGAGGGCATGGAATACCTGCGCTCCATCAAACATGAAGGACCTGATGCAATCAATGACCTGGTGACATACTTTGATCGGGTGTACATCAGTGGGTCCTGCCGCCAACGTCCTGGTCAGGGTCTGTCCGTCAACTTGAGATGAGTTCCCCCATGTTTCCTCCACAGCTCTAGAATGTCCATGACGCTACAGTGAAAGGTGGTCCTCACACCAATAACATTTGTGTAGGCTGGAACAACAAGTTCCACAACTTGGTTGCTAAGAACCACCCTTCTGTGTGGAGAGTTGTAGAATCATTCAAGAAAGAACAGGCTACAGTGAAAACCATGATTGCTCAAGATGCTGTAGGCAATCCCCCAAAGAAGAAGAAAAAGACCAAATACATCAGATTGCAGAAACATCTTCTGAACTACACATCTTCAGAACTTGTGCAGGGATCAAGTTAATAAGTGCAAATCAATCCCAGAGTTCCTGTATGGGGGTGGGTGGAACATTTGATTTAACAAAGAATTTTGATTGATCCTCTGTGAGGACTTGTGACTTATGATTGATTCTGTGATTGATCCTGCAATTTATGATCATAATTAAACATATTAAACAGATAATAAACAGTTATTGTGACTTTTTTTCCTGTGAATTTTTCCTAGCCAAAATTGTTACTTTTATCCGTTACCTTTTTCCTGCGACTTTCCGAACACCAAAGCTACATGCCATGGACATCAGACATATCACCACAAAGTGTAGATGTGGTTCTGTCGGCAGATTATTTGGTACATAAAATACTCACCGCTGTAAGAACTCGAAAGTCTTCTCTAGCCAAATATCGGAGAAGTGCAACGTTGAGCTTTCCCATGTTTTGGTTGTGAAATATGTCAATCCATCCACACGTGTTATTACCGGAAGTGACAGGCACAGCTTATAAAGCTAAACGACATTGCCTGGCTACAGTTTCGTACAAATATTTATTACACCAGACGTTGTCACATGCGTTTTAAATACACATTGGAATCGTGTGTTTATTTACAGGTTTTTATAATTATTTCAGCGATAATATCGAACACAGAGTACTTTGCGTGGCGTCTACCAGAAGGCTATACTAATCGATAACTTTTCAAAATAGTTCAAAATATAAAGCGTGCATAAAATCATGCCGGAGACGTCATTACATGAACGTTCGAATGATGTTTAAAGCGTCAGGAACAAACGCGCGATCACACAACAATACTATTTTTGTCAAGTTCATGTAGCTCCTAAATAAACTTTCTCTCCCCAAGCATGACATAACTTCACAAAGACATTTTGGGGTCTTATAGATTAAAATATACAGTGTCTTGGAAACAACTTGGGCAAGTCTTTGAATACCATTCACATTCATGCGAGATTTACGAGTGTTAGCTTCTTTATTACCAGACAGGTACACAGGAGTATATATCTTTACACTTCACCTCATTTATACTCGGAATGAAGGAGTCAGAATATGTAGAAATGCGATGTGTGTGTGTATGTGTACAAACACACACACACACACACACACACACACACACACACACACACATCGCATTTCTACATATTCAGACTCATTCTATCCGAGTATAAATGAGGTGAAGTGTAAAGCTATATGCACAAATGGACAGCCCAAAATATACATCCTGCTTGTCAGGTCCTCTAGATGTTTTGTTCACTCGATGTAAGGTGACTGGTTGTCTTCTAAATCTTCCAGGAACATGTGAATGTGGGACACTAATGATTCTGTTACTTATTGAATCTTTTCGGGATGACTCTGATATAAATGTAATGAACTTTTGTTAACTATGTCAGGATAATTATTTCGTAATCCAAATATCCCCGTGAAGAACACGTCGTAAGTTTGCTTTGTGTATTCTGCAATAGGAGATGCGTGTCCCTTCCATAACCTCCCGTTTGACAGACAGGCAGTTGTCAGAAAGTTATATACAAAACACAAATAACATGAAGTCTGGTTGAGTGAGTGAGCGAGTGAATTTTAGTTTTACGACAATCCAGTGATCAACAGAAGTCTGCTTGAGTGTACAGCAGAACTACTAAACCCTCTAGTAATGGACTCGCCCATGTACAAACACAAAATCTAAAAAAAATGTTTATATTTGTACTTGCAATATGGATAAATAATGTATAATATTTTCAGTGCTAATGATTATATCGACAGCCGTGGATCATATGCCCGGTACTCACTGCAGATGATATAACGCACCCATAGTGCAGGTATAAGACGATTACTGTAAATCATGATATCAATTAGTGTCACGGACATTAGTGCTCATTTGTCAATTAATTTATGAGAGATGTCTGAATTGTTGTTATATTCTGTATTGTTATGATCAATGCTAACCTGAAGACAATAAAGACGACAAGAGATTGACGTTTTCTGTCTTTTATTAAGTTCTCAAAAGTAGACATGGTCAGACTGAAATGCGTCATTATAATAATGCGAGTAGAGTACAGACGCATTTTTCGCATTAATTTCATAATTTACAGTATATGGATGACAACTTCTTCTTTATTGTATAACACGACATTTCTAGGCTACTTCTTGCCCCTTCTTCAGGTGATATAAAGACATACTATATACAAAACATACTACAGTATATATACCAGAATTTACAGGAAGCCAGAGAAGTACATGCATATACAATGAATGAGAGGACCGATGAAAAGTAGTTATTAAAACAATGATAATAGGGATAAAGTAAAGCCAGTTGACACAAACAATGAGGATAAGGAGATGTGAATACAGCTAATGAAATGATAATTAGATTTACAGGAAGCCAGAGATGTACATCTATCTATACAATCAATCAATGACGACATATCAATTAGAAGTTATAAAAAAACAATGATAAGGAGATGTGTACACAACAGAGTGATATACAGCTAATTAAATGACAATAGAGGCGGCTTTCGTGATGTTCCAGGCACTAGGGAGGTATACACCTTGATCTCTATTAATCTCTGGGGTTAATCTCCTGATGTTGATGGCTCCTAGTATTTTCCTTTTGCGCCAATCGTGAACATTGGTAGCCAGGATGCTAGTCTGTTGCCAGTCACTGGAGTGGGTGGGGTTGTTATTTATACGCTCTGAAAGGGCTGATTTGTTGTCGGCTTTGTTGATACGACTCAAAGAACACAAAACATCTGTTGAAAAAGCCGACAACAAATTCGTGTCTGCATATGGGTGCACAACTGGTATAAAAACGATGGACTGTGGACTCACCTGGCATGTATGCATGTGCTGCCTACAGGCACAAGGGGTCATCTCAAAGATATTATATGCTTTTTCATGTGATTTGACTATGTCTCATCTATTGATTAACATCTAACGTGTCTTTCTTTCATAAAGTTTATGTTGAGATATGTAAAAGAACATTATACCCATAAAAAAGCTTAAATCAGACATCGTATTAAATGTCTCAGTGTGTGAGTCTAGTTTTTCACCGCACTCAGCAATATTCCAGCTATATGGTGGCGGTCTGTAAATAATCGAGTCTGGACGAGACAATCCAGTGATCAACAGCATGAGCATCGATCTGCGCAATTGGGAACCGATGACATGTGTCAACCAAGTCAGCGAGCCTGACCACCCGATCCCGTTAGTCGACTCTTACGACAAGCATAGTCGCCTTTTGTGGCAAGCATGGGCTGCTGAAGACCTATTCTACCCCGGATCTTCAGGGGTCATTAATTGTCTCAAAATATATAGGTGACATGACCACCCGAAGATCGACAGGACTAGATATTATTTGTAAATTGTTACGACATACCGTTTACTTCCCCAGTTTAATTCCCCTGAAGGATTATCTTATCTTCGCTGATATCTCTATCCCCATCCCGATCCCAACCACTGTCTGGGACACCTGTCCTGGTTTTGCTTTTGAGAAGACCCGTCCTACCTGTTTGTTGTGATAGTGATAGTGAGACTCCATGGTAGCTACATCCTCAACAGTTTCAGCATTAAAGTTATTATTTTTTACGTCAGCTATCATTTATAATGAAGCTAAGTCTTATTTCAAAATGGGCATTTAAAAAGTGTCGTTTGTAATACAATATCATCGCACACTAATTTGCATAAAGCCATTGTCTTCCTACAGTACTTTACAAAGTAAAGTGTCGGTTCCCACCAGCTACGGATCGCCCTCTCCACGTGACCTACAGATCAACTGGGACAATTGACAGGAAACGGAAACCGCCAGTGCAGGAAACTCCGATCACAGACTCCCGAAATAACTCTTAACCGTCCGTGATCCATTCAATCTGCCGGTAATTCAATCCTGTATAAGAAGCTGTATGTGGCTGGTTCGAATCCAATATTTTTCAAATGCTAATGACACTTCCTCTGCTTGCGGGGACAGGGGCATCACGCCCGAGGCCACAGGGGCTTGTAACGCTAAAACTGCCATCAAGGTATGTACTGTCACTAACGGGGTCTCAGCACTATGGAAGGAAAGGGATGTACCGAGGTCAACACACCAAGTTCGTTTCAGGGCGAATTCAACAATGCTCACTGTATCTGTCCCATGTAAAGTATGCACACATTTCAAGCCAATAGATTTACCTACAGAATAAAACATAGAGCACAAAAATCGAAGCAGTACTTTGGGAGCTAGGGTATTCGGAAGCTCGAAAAAAAATCGTGATTTCTCACGAAGTTTTTAGCGTTCCAAGCCCCTGTGTCCGAGGCGCCGCAGTTCGCTGTGCATGGTTGCGATACATTGGGCACGCAGGAACCATATTGGTGCACCACTAGGCGCCTCCCTCCTACACTGACCTGACAGGCTGATGCAACTGGAATACTGTTCAATGCGGCACTATACCCAGCCCAACCATATTGGTGCACCACTAGGCGCCTCCCTCCTACACTGACCTGACAGGCTGATGCAACTGGAATACTGTTCAATGCGGCACTATACCCAGCCCAACCATATTGGTGCACCACTAGGCGCCTCCCTCCTACACTGACCTGACAGGCTGATGCAACTGGAATACTGTTCAATGCGGCACTATACCCAGCCCAACCATATTGGTGCACCACTAGGCGCCTCCCTCCTACACTGACCTGACAGGCTGATGCAACTGGAATACTGTTCAATGCGGCACTATACCCAGCCCAACCATATTGGTGCATCACTTGGCGCCTCCCTCCTACACTGACCTGACAGGCTGATGCAACTGGAATACTGTTCAATGCGGCACTATACCCAGCCCAACCATATTGGTGCACCACTTGGCGCCTCCCTCCTACACTGACCTGACAGGCTCCTGGAATACTGTTCAATGCGGCACTATACAGCCCAACCATATTGGTGCACACTGACAGGCTGATGCAACTGGAATACTGTTCAATGCGGCACTATACCCAGCCCAACCATATTGGTGCACCACTTGGCGCCTCCCTCCTACACTGACCTGACAGGCTGATGTAACTGGAATACTGTTCAATGCGGCACTATACCCAGCCCAACCATATTGGTGCACCACTAGGCGCCTCCCTCCTACACTGACCTGACAGGTTGATGTACCTGGAATACTGTTCAATGCGGCACTATACCCAGCCCAACCACTCCTCTGTCAACCTGCCAACTTTGCTACTTTGTATATTATAATTTCATTGACCATATATATTCCATAAATGAGTCTAACATGTGCGGGATTTTGACGGTGGCCAGTAATAAGGGTAAGCCTAATTTGAACGGTTTTGCATTGTCTACCTCTTCTTCGATTTCCAAGTTGAAACAATAAGATAAAAGGAAATCTGAGCGTAAGAGAATTAGGTGTGAAACCAACACAACACAGATATGTTATATAGTTCATACTTGTATTCGGAAATGACCTAAATTTACAACTGACTGACTGACTGAGTTTTGGTTTTACGCCGCTTTTAGCAATATTC